TGAATTTTTTCCTGATTAATTTATTGGTTTGGACTTTGTTTAATTTTGCTGGGAGTCTTGTTTGGATTTTTCCAATCTTTAACCTGTTGCATGTAATCAAAGGCAAATTTTCTTATTATTTATTACTTGTGTTGAAAGCCGGTATTCTCCCTACTTCCGCTTCTTCCTTCTACCCCTTCCAGTGAACAACATTTTTTTCCCCTTTTCAGCATCTTGGTTAATTGGGCGAGCAGGGCAATGGCAACAAAGGCTTTGAGCTTTGTTGTTTGCGACTTCACAAGCCGATTTGATTCGAAGTTCTCACCTTGTCGTTCAAGGGCTCCCACACTTGGATGCTCTGTCCATTTCTCCTCTGACGCTGCTGCCACTGGTAAAGCAACCTTCTACCGTCTCTTGTTTTCTATGTCTGTTCTGAGCCCAGACGAATCTCGTTCATATATTTTCTTGCTCTGCCTCTTAATCACAAAGGTGGAGGATCATCATCTGTTTTGCCAAGATTTTTTTCTTTTGCCGCTTAACTTTGGCTGGTTATAATAAATTTTTCATATGCATTATGTGGTTGAGCTGATGTAATTACGTATCAATAGACAGAAGAATATTAATAAAACCGGTGATGCTTTCTAACTCAGATTCACTGTTCTAGTTGTGATGAAAATTTGTGCCTTGGCAGTTGAATCCTGTCATTGATGAATTTCTGGATGTTAATGAATTGGGTGGTTATTTTACATTCTTTAAACATAGTTGTTGATAGCTATGTCGCTATGAAGTTCAAAATTCAATTTGCTTGACATATGTGAAGTCAGCTTCTTTACTTCCTCGCATTTTTATCCCTGAAAGTAAATTATGTACGACAGTTTCAATTTATTTGGTAAAATTAAGCTTACAGTTTCTTTCGTTCTATCAATAGTGGTTTTCAGTTAACTATTCTCTTTCTTCCTCCAATATATGTACTTTAAATGTAAGGAAATCCATATATTATCACTAAGAGACTAAAGAAATTTATGTAGTTGTATTGCCTGAAACGTAGGTAAGGAACAAAGGCCTTGAGAAAATTCAGATGCTGACTTCTGCTGACGAACTTGTCAATCTGGATATAAGCATATTAATAAAAATTATACAGAAATATTTGTCTGTGAAACCAGTGACGCTTTCAAACTCAGATTCGTTTTTCTGGTTCTGATGAAAATTTGTGCATCATCAATTGAATTCTATCACTGATGAATTCTGGATCTTGATGAGTTTTGGCGTCATTTTTATGATCTGTTAACATATTTGCTACCGCCCCATGTTGAAACTTCAGTTTCTCAAAAAGGTGTGAACCAAAATTTACTTTCTTGTGTTTGACTTATGCATTGCACTTCCATTTGATTTTGTAAAATGAACGCTTCAATCCCTGTCATTCCAGTACTAGTCTTTTTCAAGTGAATATCCCTTTTTCCCTCTGATATGAATGAAAGACAATTCTTATATTATTGCAAAGGGTAGAGAAATTGATGTAGATTTACTACCTGGAACATAGGTAAGGAACAGAGGCCTTGGAAAAATTCAGATGCTAGACTAGTGCTGGAGGATGGTTCGATCTGGAGAGCCAAGTCATTTGGGGCTTCAGGAACCCAAGTTGGTGAAGTTGTATTTAATACGTCATTAACTGGGTGAGATAGATTGTATATCTGAATACCCATAGCAGCAATTCATTTACCCTTTTTTCAGTGGATTAGTTTCTGCATATCATTATCTGTTATGCATATGCACTGCAGGTATCAGGAAATTCTGACAGATCCTAGTTATGCTGGCCAGTTTGTGCTGATGACAAATCCACATATTGGCAATACTGGTGTAAATTTTGGTGAGTGAAATGGTTTGTATTCTTAATTTCTTGAATTTTAGTTCTTCGAAGGCATTTAAATACTTTTTTTAATGCATTTCCTGGCAGATGATGAAGAATCCAGAGAGTGCTTCCTTGCTGGTCTAGTAATCAGAAGTTTGAGTATTAGGTTCTTTTCTGCTGCTCTAAATATATTTCCCTTGACTTAACTCTACTTAGTGTACTGACACTTTCTTCCTTTCGTGTAAATATTTTTCAGCACTTCAAACTGGAGATGCGCAGAACCACTGGGCGATTATTTAGCAAAAAGGAATATCATGGGAATCTGTAAGTTTTTATATAGTAACTGCAGAAGTGGTTTTTAGAAGATCATTGGTCTGTGCATGATTTCAGGTTCTGATATTCATTTCGGTGCTTCCTTTGTGATGAAACAGATGATGTTGATACCCGTGCAATCACACGCAGGCTAAGGGAAGATGGAAGTCTTATTGGTGTCTTGAGCACTGACAATTCTAAAACAGATGATGAACTACTTCAGATGTCTCGTTCATGGGATATTGTTGGTAAGCTTGCAAACCTTTGAGGTTGTAGAAACAGTTCAATCAGTAGAAGTTCATCACTACTGCTTCATTTATTCAGGTATTGATCTAATAAGTGGAGTATCATGCAAAGCACCTTATGAATGGGTTGACCAAACAGCTCAAGAATGGGGTTTTAACTCCAATGGAAGCCCTAGAGAGACCTTCCATGTAATTTTCTATAGTGCATTGTTTGATCCACTTCTTTATTGTTGACAATGAGGTAGTTTAATTTACCCATCATTCTGGTGACCAAATTGCAGATTGTTGCATATGATTTTGGAATCAAGCTTAATATACTTAGGCGCCTAGCATCTTATGGCTGTAAAATTACTGTGGTACCATCTACATGGCCAGCATCAGATACTTTAAAGTTGAAGCCAGATGGAATTCTTTTCAGTAATGGTCCTGGTGATCCCTCTGCTGTTCCCTATGCCATTGACACTGTGAAGAATATTCTGGGAAAGGTGCCTGTTTTTGGAATTTGCATGGGCCATCAATTGTTAGGCCAGGCATTGGGAGGTAAAACCTTTAAGATGAAATTTGGTCACCATGGAGGAAATCATCCAGTTCGTAACCTACTAACGGGCCATGTTGAAATTAGTGCTCAGGTACATAATTGAGTTATTTTTCTTGAAAATTTATTTTGAGACAAGCACATATGGAAAGGAATGATTCCTAGTTTCTTGGGTGATATATGACTTCCCAAGCACATGCAATTCTTCACCGTGAGTAAAATTATTAACTGGACCATGATAGCATGATTAGACTTTTGGTCTTGCTATGAGCTATGAAGTAGAAAACCATGCGTAGCAGCAATGTTAATGGAAAAACTTCATCCTTTGGCATCCTGTATTTGATATGATAAACAAATATTTGTGGTCGCATAAAGTTTGTTATCAGTTTGAAATGAAACTTGGTTATTATCTTTCCATTTCCCTGAAGTATATATTTTCTTTCAAAATGGCAGAATCACAACTATGCGGTTGACCCTGCAACATTGCCAGAAGGAGTAAAGGTTACTCATATCAATCTTAATGACGGAAGTTGTGCCGGCCTTGCATTTCCTGCTCAGAAGATCATGTCACTTCAATACCACCCTGAAGCATCTCCAGGACCTCATGATTCCGATTATGGTATGAGACTACTAGTCATTACAATTTATAAAACACAAATGTCAAGGGGGAATCAAAGCTTGTCATAATGCTCAGATGCATTTAGTGATGAAAATTATGCTATACTGTGAAAAATTATTAGTGCTATTAAGTAATTTGAATAGTTTCTTTCACTTGATTTTTGAAAAATGAAAAAATTAAAAAATCAATAATGCTCACACGATTTATTGATGGTGCAGCTTTCAAGCAGTTTGTGGAGCTAATGAGGAAGGAAAGAAACATGAAACCTGAAGCAAATCTACACCATCTGTCAACCGTGCAAGTTGTGGATGCTTAGTGCTGTTAAGCGAGCTGCTATTCCAATAAGGATGAAATGTTAGGCATTAGTATCAATGATTTTGTAGATGAATTTATCCATCAATGTTCTGCCAAGTTTAATTTAGGTTTTCATGGTCCACCTTGTGTACCTAAAGCTAGCTTGCGCGAGATTGCTGTATCTTTGCAGTCAAATGAGGAATTCATTTTGTCTGGAACTTTTGGATTGAGCAGTTGGATAATCACAAGATCACAATGTTACAATTCTCTGATGGTTCATACTCCCTAATTACATTGGTCACTGTCCAACACTAGGAAACTTGTGGGGGAGAGCATGAAACTTACAATCTTGTTTTTGGGAGATTTAGGCTGTGCAGTCCCACCTCTAATTTATGGGATCGATCGTACCACAGCAAGTAACATTTAAACAGCACATACGATGACTATTCGAACATACTATAGACAGGTATGAAGCTTCAACCATTGGAATTACCACAGGTGAAATATGGAAGACAAAGATTAAGAACCAGACATTTGCTCATTCGTCCTTGGCGGAACAACCAAAATTTGAGGTCAAATAAAACAACCATTTCGAGCATAATTGGACCTATGCTTAAAAACAACTGAAATAAGACTAGCTAAACCAAAGCAAAGTAACCTGTTCCAGTTTCCCAATTCTCTGCTTGAATTCCCTTTAGCTTTGGGCATGAGAAAAGCTAGTCCTCAAGACCCTCCGCAGTACCTCTTAACTGCAAACCACCCATTTCACAGTGTGTCGGGAAGACCCAATGCGGTAAAAATTGATCAAATTCAACCTGGAACAAAAACTAAACTCATCTAATCTATCTCAATAAATTGTGTGACCATATTTGGGGGTCCCCACAGAAAAATACAAATGCATTAGGCTCCCTTTCCTCAATGTCTCAAATACATAAAACCAAAAATATGCCTAGATATAATCAAGTACAAAGCTTCACTGATTGGAAGCTCTACAAGTGAAAGAAGGCTGAAGAAAATTAAATCATGTTTCAATATTTCCAGAGCCCTCCACTACCCAAAAGAGTTCAAAGGTCGATCACACCGATATTTTTGGGTGTTTAAAGACACCGGATAGCCCGATCCTGATTTTACAGATCAGGATGCGAAGAGTAAATTGCCAGTTGTAAATTATAACAGGAACAAAAGTCATCTAATTCGATAAATAAATTCATTGATCATAATTAAACAGTCTACTGAGAGAGTAGATCATTGTTCATTTTCTCATATTTGCCGGCAACAGCATTGAAGACCTAGATACAATCCACTTGATTTCTAAGGATAAATTGTTCTTAAGCTCTCTCGCCCTCCAATCATTTAATGCCGGAAACTTTAAATTAAAAATAAAAAGATAGAAAGTATATTTTTTGGTAAGAAGATAGAAAATATTTTTTGAAAAAAGACAAGAAAGAAAGGAGTAAGAAAAAGAGAAAACCATATTGGAGGTACCTATACTTTTTTTCAATTTTCAATTTGGTACTTATGTGTTTTTTGTTATTAACTAAATCTTTATTTTTCCTCTATTAACATCATTAGTCCTTATGTAGAGACTAAAAATATCAATAGAACAAAGTTATAAGAGCTAATATTACTAAAAAGATAAAATTGAATGTTTAATTAAAGGGGAAAAACACATAGGTACCAAATTAAAAATTGAGAGAAAGTATAGGTACCTTCAATATGGTTTTCTCTAAGAAAAACGGTGAAAACAAAAGGGACATGCATGAGAGGCCAAGCCGAAGCACGGTAAAAACCATGAAACCTAGCTGACATCGGGGCTAGTTGTGGTTAGCGTCAAATATCAGTGTCGCTCAGAAGTCTGCTCCGAGTTCTGGGGGCGTGTGCAGTGAGTCCGGCGGCTCGTGAAGTCCGGTGGAGACCACGCTGTTCCGTGTTCATTCCTCTCATTCTCATCCTTGGCCCCCACAAATAAGCCTTGCTTCTCATTCTCTGCTTCGCGTCACCACCACCCACCGCTCCTCCCTCCTCGCTAGTTTCCTCCATCGCAAGATCGCTTTCAGGAGATCTGCTGGTTCGTGCCTCTTCTCCATTTCTCCCTATTTGCTTCAGGGTAACCACCAACGCTTAAACGCTGCTTTTGATTTCAGTTATCTTCTGCTTCAGCCTTGTTCGCCTCTGGCTATAACATTCTTGTATATTTTTTTGAATTTGATTTTTGGCATATTTTATTTTTGTTATGTGAATAGCTTTTTTTTGTACCCTTTTTTTTATTTTATATTTGTCGGCTGAGTTTTGTCATTCTCTCTTGGATTCTTTTATGATTTGCAGGTGAATTTTTTCCTAATTAATTTATTGGTTTGGACTTTGTTTAATTTTGCTGGGAGTCTTGTTTGGATTTTTCCAATCTTTAACCTGTTGCATGTAATCAAAGGCAAATTTTCTTATTATTTATTACTTGTGTTGAAAGCCGGTATTCTCCCGGGAGCAGATCCCCTCAGAATCCTATTCTCTCAGTATCTCTCAGTAGCTGATCTGGACCGTTATCGTGATTAATCGTAGCTATCCGTTTCAATACTCTTAAAACACCTTCCGGACCTCTCAAATGCTTCGATTTCCTACAACTTTTTGGTGCAGCTGGGTAGGAAATATTCTAATAGGCAAGATATGAATTGGGGGAAAAAAACTCATTTTTCATCAAAGATATTCCTCCGGTCCTATATAATACTTTCCTCCCAAAAATTTATTTGAATTTTATTTTAGTTCTAACTATAAAATCTTAACCTACTTTATCTCTTATATTTATTTATTTTTTAAAAATAGTTATTATAATAATTCTAACTAATATAGTTGATTAGCAAAAATACTTTATGAAATACAATACTTATTTATTATAAATAATTAACTTAACTAATTTTTTTAATACATTCAAATTAGTCAACTAATCCTTATATTAATGACCAGAGGTAGCACTAATTAGAGGGTTAATTTAGTTTAAAATATAAAACTTATTTAATATAATTATCAATTTTTTTAAATTAAACCCATTAATATTTTCTTAATAATAATCAAGTAAGAAAGGGAGGAAAAAAATTAAAAAGATGCTTATGGTGTTTTTAATATATTATATTAACTAATTCAATTAACATTATTAATCTACTCAAATTAGTTAATTAGATTTTATATTAAGAACCGGATAAGTAATATCTTTTGAATTTTTTCATAAGCAAAATTATTCATTATAGAGATTTTTAAGAGGAAAAGTCCCAAAAAAATACTTTTAAAATTTCAAAATTTCAAATCAAGAATGAATACAAAAATATGTTGTCATTTTCATTTTAAATATTATCAATTATTATTAAAATATAGTTAATAAAACTGGTTTCAAATTTTAAAATTTAAAAGTATTTTTTCTTATTCTCCTTTTTTAAGATATAAATTTATCCCATTTCAAATTTTTCTTATGAAGTTTATAGAAGATATTATATTGTTTTTGTTTAACATTGTATAAGATTTATCTGTTGTATTTATATAAATATATAATAGATACATCTTTTGCAATACTAAACAAGTACAGTGTTATATCTTCTATGAACTACATATATAACGAAAAAATATCCATTTTAAATGGGAGAAATTTACATCTCAAAAATTCATACTTTTTCTATCCTTAATATAATATCTGTTTAACTAATTTGATTAGATTAAGAAAGTTCGGTAGGTTAGTTAATTATAAAAAATATGATATGTTTTTTTTAAAACACCATGATCATCTTCCTTAATATCCTCTCTTCATCTTTTACTTGATTATGGTTGAGGGAGATCTATAGGAGTAATTTAGAAAAAATTGATAAATATGATAAATAAGTCTTATATTTAAGGTCAAAATTAACTCAATAATTAGACTGAAGGAGTATAATAAAGATTTTTGTTATTTTAGCTATGAAAAAAATCTTTAAAAAATATATTTTATCAAAAAATGAGTTTTTTTAATCATATTTTGCCTCTCAGAATATTTTCCACCAAGCCATGCCAAAAAGTGGGAGAAGATCGAAGCATTTGGGGGGTCCCGAAGGGGTTTTAAAAGTATTGAAATGGGCGGCTATGATTAATCATGTTAACGGTCCAGATCAGCTACTGAGAGATACTGAGAGAATGTGCTTCTGAGGAGATCTGCTCCCGTATTCTCCCTACTTCCGCTTCTTCCTTCTACCCCTTCCAGTGAACAACATTTTTTTCCCCTTTTCAGCATCTTGGTTAATTGGGCGAGCAGGGCAATGGCAACAAAGGCTTTGAGCTTTGTTGTTTGCGACTTCACAAGCCGATTTGATTCGAAGTTCTCACCTTGTCGTTCAAGGGCTCCCACACTTGGATGCTCTGTCCATTTCTCCTCTGACGCTGCTGCCACTGGTAAAGCAACCTTCTACCGTCTCTTGTTTTCTATGTCTGTTCTGAGCCCAGACGAATCTCGTTCATATATTTTCTTGCTCTGCCTCTTAATCACAAAGGTGGAGGATCATCATCTGTTTTGCCAAGATTTTTTTCTTTTGCCGCTTAACTTTGGCTGGTTATAATAAATTTTTCATATGCATTATGTGGTTGAGCTGATGTAATTACGTATCAATAGACAGAAGAATATTAATAAAACCGGTGATGCTTTCTAACTCAGATTCACTGTTCTAGTTGTGATGAAAATTTGTGCCTTGGCAGTTGAATCCTGTCATTGATGAATTTCTGGATGTTAATGAATTGGGTGGTTATTTTACATTCTTTAAACATAGTTGTTGATAGCTATGTCGCTATGAAGTTCAAAATTCAATTTGCTTGACATATGTGAAGTCAGCTTCTTTACTTCCTCGCATTTTTATCCCTGAAAGTAAATTATGTACGACAGTTTCAATTTATTTGGTAAAATTAAGCTTACAGTTTCTTTCGTTCTATCAATAGTGGTTTTCAGTTAACTATTCTCTTTCTTCCTCCAATATATGTACTTTAAATGTAAGGAAATCCATATATTATCACTAAGAGACTAAAGAAATTTATGTAGTTGTATTGCCTGAAACGTAGGTAAGGAACAAAGGCCTTGAGAAAATTCAGATGCTGACTTCTGCTGACGAACTTGTCAATCTGGATATAAGCATATTAATAAAAATTATACAGAAATATTTGTCTGTGAAACCAGTGACGCTTTCAAACTCAGATTCGTTTTTCTGGTTCTGATGAAAATTTGTGCATCATCAATTGAATTCTATCACTGATAAATTCTGGATCTTGATGAGTTTTGTCGTCATTTTTATGGTCTGTTAACATATTTGCTACCGCCCCATGTTGAAACTTAAGTTTCTCAAAAAGATGTGAACCAAAATTTACTTTCTTGTGTTTCTTCTCTGAAACCGAATTATGCACTGCACTTCCATTTGATTTTGTAAAATGAACGCTTCAATCCCTGTCATTCCAGTACTAGTCTTTTTCAAGTGAATATCCCTTTTTCCCTCTGATATGAATGAAAGAAAATTCTTATATTATTGCAAAGGGTAGAGAAATTGATGTAGATTTACTACCTGGAACATAGGTAAGGAACAGAGGCCTTGGAAAAATTCAGATGCTAGACTTGTGCTGGAGGATGGTTCAATCTGGAGAGCCAAGTCATTTGGGGCTTCAGGAACCCAAGTTGGTGAAGTTGTATTTAATACGTCATTAACTGGGTGAGATAGAGTGTATATCTGAATACCCATAGCAGCAATTCATTTACCCTTTTTTCAGTGGATTAGTTTCTACATATCATTATCTGTTATGCATATGCACTGCAGGTATCAAGAAATTCTGACAGATCCTAGTTATGCTGGCCAGTTTGTGCTGATGACAAATCCACATATTGGCAATACTGGTGTAAATTTTGGTGAGTCAAATGGTTTGTATTCTTAATTTCTTGAATTTTAGTTCTTCGAAGGCATTTAAATATTTTTTTTAATGCATTTCCTGGCAGATGATGAAGAATCCAGAGAGTGCTTCCTTGCTGGTCTAGTAATCAGAAGTTTGAGTATTAGGTTCTTTTCTGCTGCTCTAAATATATTTCCCTTGACTTAACTCTACTTAGTGTACTGACACTTTCTTCCTTTCGTGTAAATATTTTTCAGCACTTCAAACTGGAGATGCGCAGAACCACTGGGCGATTATTTAGCAAAAAGGAATATCATGGGAATCTGTAAGTTTTTATATAGTAACTGCAGAAGTGGTTTTTAGAAGATCATTGGTCTGTGCATGATTTCAGGTTCTGATATTCATTTCGGTGCTTCCTTTGTGATGAAACAGATGATGTTGATACCCGTGCAATCACACGCAGGCTAAGGGAAGATGGAAGTCTTATTGGTGTCTTGAGCACTGACAATTCTAAAACAGATGATGAACTACTTCAGATGTCTCGTTCATGGGATATTGTTGGTAAGCTTGCAAACCTTTGAGGTTGTAGAAACAGTTCAATCAGTAGAAGTTCATCACTACTGCTTCATTTATTCAGGTATTGATCTAATAAGTGGAGTATCATGCAAAGCACCTTATGAATGGGTTGACCAAACAGCTCAAGAATGGGGTTTTAACTCCAATGGAAGCCCTAGAGAGACCTTCCATGTAATTTTCTATAGTGCATTGTTTGATCCACTTCTTTATTGTTGACAATGAGGTAGTTTAATTTACCCATCATTCTGGTGACCAAATTGCAGATTGTTGCATATGATTTTGGAATCAAGCTTAATATACTTAGGCGCCTAGCATCTTATGGCTGTAAAATTACTGTGGTACCATCTACATGGCCAGCATCAGATACTTTAAAGTTGAAGCCAGATGGAATTCTTTTCAGTAATGGTCCTGGTGATCCCTCTGCTGTTCCCTATGCCATTGACACTGTGAAGAATATTCTGGGAAAGGTGCCTGTTTTTGGAATTTGCATGGGCCATCAATTGTTAGGCCAGGCATTGGGAGGTAAAACCTTTAAGATGAAATTTGGTCACCATGGAGGAAATCATCCAGTTCGTAACCTACTAACGGGCCATGTTGAAATTAGTGCTCAGGTACATAATTGAGTTATTTTTCTTGAAAATTTATTTTGAGACAAGCACATATGGAAAGGAATGATTCCTAGTTTCTTGGGTGATATATGACTTCCCAAGCACATGCAATTCTTCACCGTGAGTAAAATTATTAACTGGACCATGATAGCATGATTAGACTTTTGGTCTTGCTATGAGCTATGAAGTAGAAAACCATGCGTAGCAGCAATGTTAATGGAAAAACTTCATCCTTTGGCATCCTGTATTTGATATGATAAACAAATATTTGTGGTCGCATAAAGTTTGTTATCAGTTTGAAATGAAACTTGGTTATTATCTTTCCATTTCCCTGAAGTATATATTTTCTTTCAAAATGGCAGAATCACAACTATGCGGTTGACCCTGCAACATTGCCAGAAGGAGTAAAGGTTACTCATATCAATCTTAATGACGGAAGTTGTGCCGGCCTCGCATTTCCTGCTCAGAAGATCATGTCACTTCAATACCACCCTGAAGCATCTCCAGGACCTCATGATTCCGATTATGGTATGAGACTACTAGTCATTACAATTTATAAAACACAAATGTCAAGGGGGAATCAAAGCTTGTCATAATGCTCAGATGCATTTAGTGATGAAAATTATGCTATACCGTGAAAAATTATTAGTGCTATTAAGTAATTTGAATGGTTTCTTTCACTTGATTTTTGAAAAAGAAAAAATTAAAAAATCAATAATGCTCACACGATTTATTGATGGTGCAGCTTTCAAGCAGTTTGTGGAGCTAATGAGGAAGGAAAGAAACATGAAGCCTGAAGCAAATCTGCACCATCTGTCAACCGTGCAAGTTGTGGATGCTTAGTGCTGTTAAGCGAGCTGCTATTCCAATGAGGATGAAATGTTAGGCATTAGTATCAATGATTTTGTAGATGAATTTATCCATCAATGTTCTGCCAAGTTTAATTTAGGTTTTCATGGTCCACCTTGTGTACCTAAAGCTAGCTTGCCTGAGATTGCTTTATCTTTGCAGTCAAATGAGGAATTCATTTTGTCTGGAACTTTTGGATTGAGCAGTTGGATAATCACAAGATCACAATGTTACAATTCTCTGATGGTTCATGCTCCCTAATTACATTGGTCACTGTCCAACACTAGGAAACTTGTGGGGAGAGCATGAAACTTACAATCTTGTTTTTGGGAGATTTAGGCTGTGCAGTCCCACCTCTAATCTATGGGATCGATCGTACCACAGCAAGTAACATTTAAACAGCACATACGATGACTTTTCGAACATACTATAGACAGATATGAAGCTTCAACCATTGGAATTACCACAGGTGAAATATGGAAGACTAAAAGATTAAGAACCAGACATTTGCTCATTCGTCCTTGGCGGAACAACCAAAATTTGAGGTCAAATAAAACAACCATTTCGAGCATAATTGGACCTATGCTTAAAAACAACTGAAATAAGACTAGCTAAACCAAAGCAAGGTAACCTGTTCCAGTTTCCCAATTCTCTGCTTGAATTCCCTTTAGCTTTGGGCATGAGAAAAGCTAGTCCTCAAGACCCTCCGCAGTACCTCTTAATTTCAAACCACCCATTTCACAGTGTGTCGGGAAGACCCAATGCGGTAAAAATTGATCAAATTCAACCTGGAACAAAAACTAAACTCATCTAATCTATCTCAATAAATTGTGTGACCATATTTGGGGGTCCCCACAGAAAAATACAAATGCATTAGGCTCCCTTTCCTCAATGTCTCAAATACATAAAACCAAAAATATGCCTAGATATAATCAAGTACAAAGCTTCACTGATTGGAAGCTCTACAAGTGAAAGAAAGCTGAAGAAAATTAAATCATGTTTCAATATTTCCAGAGCCCTCCACTACCCAAAAGAGTTCAAAGGTCGATCACACGGATATTTTTGGGTGTTTAAAGAAACCGGATAGCCCGATCCTGATTTTACAGATCAGGATGCGAAGAGTAAATTGCCAGTTGTAAATTATAACAGGAACAAAAGTCATCTAATTCGATAAATAAATTCATTGATCATAATTAAACAGTCTACTGAGAGAGTAGATCATTGTTCATTTTCTCATATTTGCCGGGAACAGCATTGAAGACCTAGGTACAATCCACTTGATTTCTAAGGATAAATTGTTCTTAAGCTCTCTCGCCTCTAATTCTCCTGGCAAGTTGAATATCCTTCGGCATGATAGTAACCCTCTTCGCATGAATGGCACACAAGTTGGTGTCTTCAAACAACCCTACCAGATACGCCTCAGCGGCTTCCTGGAGAGCAGCCACAGCACTGCTCTGAAACCTCAGATCGGTCTTGAAATCCTGAGCAATTTCTCGAACCAGACGCTGAAATGGAAGCTTGCGAATGAGAAGCTCAGTGCTCTTCTGGTACTTTCTGATTTCTCTCAAGGCCACAGTTCCTGGCCTGAAACGGTGAGGCTTCTTGACACCACCGGTAGCCGGAGCAGATTTCCTAGCAGCCTTGGTGGCCAGCTGCTTGCGAGGAGCCTTTCCACCGGTAGACTTACGAGCAGTCTGCTTGGTTCTTGCCATTGTTGAGCTTGCTTCTATTGAAACTGCCTGCGATATAAAATTGAAAGAAAAGATGCAAGAGTAGCTATGAAAGGGGAGGCGGAGGGATTTTGGTATTTATAGATGATGGGGTATTGAAATTTTTGGAGGGAGAGTAGGGGAGCCAGGTGGGTTTCGATGAACAGATGACGAGGATTGAGGATTGATCTGACGGTGAGGATTTGGTTATGAGGCAGCACACGGATCGCCCTCTTTTAGTGGGAGCGAGAGATTTTTTAATTTTGGTTTTTAAATTTTCAAGCTTGGCGCCATAACCTCCAAGCGAGAGAGCTCTGTTTTCAAATTTCATTTCTCTCTTTGGTTCATTCTTTGGTCCCTCCCTGTGGCGTGTGAGCTTCAGAGTTCAGCCTCCAAATACCGAATCAAAGGTCTGGTTCCGGGAAGGCAAAAAACAAAAACAAAAAAAGAGAAAAAATGATAAATAAAGAAGTTGAAAAATGTAATATTTCAGATCAACCAGTTGAAAATAACAGAGAAAAAAGTGCTATCTAAAAAAGTAATACCTGATCTGGTATTTTACAAATATAGTTAAATAACTAAAATATGTTTATATAAAAAAGTTTATTAAAATGATAAGTGTTAAATAGCAAATAACAAAAATATATTGATAATAACAAGTTATTAAATTAACAAATTGTGAATGCCAATGATAAGTGTTAAACAGCTAATGACAAGAAATATACTAATAATGACATTGCCAATATATTTACAAAATACCATATCTGACATCACTTTTTTCTCTGTTATTTTCAACTTTTAGGTGTCTAAATTAGGAAATAATAATTTTAGGGTTCTTTTTCCGAAATTTTTCCCCAAAAAAATCACAAAAAGAAAATAATGGGAATGAAAATTCAACAAATTGAAAAAAAATGCATTAATAACTAATAAATTAGTTGAGACTTGAGATAATAATTAAAAGTTTAATAATTAGATTGCTTGAGATACTGATTAAAAGTTTAATAATTAGATTGCAGTCAAGCTATGCTCAAATTAACATGCTTTAATTATATGAGTTATCTTAGAATAAAAATGATAAGTATATTAAAAACTAATCTTAAATAAATAATAGGGAAAATGACAGAAAAATGATAAATAACTTCACAATGCCAAAAACATCACCTGAATTTGAGAAATCCCATTTTGATCACATGAAACCAAATTGGGATTATCATTTTAAATGGAAAGACGAAACTACCCTCTGTATTATTTGAAACAAAAGTAAGGGCAAAGAGGCGCAATTTTCTCACACTGTCATCCTTGGCTGAAACTGATGGCACGAAGAACAGAGAAGAGAGTAGAGGAGGAAGCTGCTGCCATGGAAGAAGAGAGAAGAGAAGAAGGAAGGGCACATTGGTGGTGCTGTGGTCATCGTCGAAGAAGAGAAAAGAAAAGAACAATCGAAGGGATACATTATAGGAGTTGATCAAAGGGAAGAACAAAGAAGAGGAGCAATTTGCGCTGAGACAAAGGTAAGTTTGTCTAACATTCCCTCGTTGTGTTTGTTAATGGGTAGTAGGCGAATGTCATACCTCCTTTCCTTCTCTTATATGTGAGTTGTGTAGGGTATGTTCTAATATTTCTTCTTCCTTGGTTTTCCAGAGTGTTGCTTTTTTTAATTTTTCCTTCTCTGTTGTATTGTACGTGTGGATTGGGAAATTGTTGGTTTTCCTCCAATCTGTTTTTTTATTTGACTTTTATCAAGGTTTGGCGATTATGTAGAGCTGGATTATAGTTGTCATGTATGAAGTTTGGGACTGTGATTTTAAGAGGAATATCTTTGAGCTTGTCAAATTGAATGCACTATGGGTGTTTGGTAAAATGTTTGGAATGAGAATTTAAAGTTAATAGATATGATTAATGTAGTATAGACCAAATTATGGGACCGTGGAAGTCTTGAGAAACCATTTTTGTTGATTGGAGAATGATAATTGGTGCTTAAATGTCGATGATCATAATTATAAGATGTGGAAGTCTTGAGAAACCACTTTTGTTAACTGGAGAATTACAACTGGTGCTTGAACATTGATGATCATAATTGTAAGATGATGGTTACTGCTAAATAAGTCAATGATCATAATTATAAGATGTGGAAGTCTTGAGAAACCACTTTTGTTGACTAGAGAATTACGACTGGTGCTTGAACATTAATGATCATAATTGTAAGATGATGGTTACTGCTAAATAAGTAGTAGATGGATTTTTTGAAGCTGAAGTTATTAAACACATACACTGAAACTGTTAACCACTATACAGAAGTTGTAAAAATGGTTTGGTTATCTTTCCTAGAAATGCTGTTGTTGACACTTATACTTAAGTTGTTAAATGCTCACACTGAAGCTGTTAACCACTATACTCAAGTTGTAAAAATGGGTTTTTATTATCTTTCCTAGAAATACTGTTGTTGGCACTTATACTTAAGTTGTTAAATGCTTACACTGAAGCTGTTAACCACTATGAAGAAGTTGCCTTTACGTGATGAGACCACGCAACCCATGAGGATTACAGTAGAGTTTGATGATGATTTGAAAGCTGTAAGTCCTGAAGGGGCTCAATTTACTAGTTATGTGGGTTATCTCGCACGCAGTAAGATTGGGATTAACATTCCTAATTGGAGGATGGTAGACAAAGATTTAAAGCAAACCATTTGAGAGGATATTTTCGTACATTACGAATTCTTTTCTCTATTTGTTTCAATTATAATTGCTTATTTACATATAACTCTATTGTATTGTATTGCGGCTTAAATTTGATATTCCGTAACTGAGAAAATGAGAAACCATTTGTTTAAGCAACTCAATAAACGGTGGAGGGATTTTAAATCCATGCTTACAAGAGAGTATCTTTGTGGAAAAAGAAAGAATGGGCATCCTAAAGATCGATACTCTTTTATTAGTGATAAGGCATAGAAGAGGTTTGTAAAGCAACGTCTAGACCCTGTATTTCAGGTTTGGTTTCTTCATACTTAGTTTTTAATCAATTTATGCTTATTTAACTAAACTAACTTTGTCGAATTTGTTTCATTGTCATAGGCACTGAGTAGGAAAAACAAGCAAATATCTGAACAGAATGTGTATCCACATACCATATCTTGTACAGGGTATGATGGGTTGGAAAGAAGTATGATGAAGGAGCGGAAAAAGAATACACAGATAGATGCTGCTTCAGATCTTATTAGCTATATTCCACCTATTGAGCGTCTTTTTCGCCAAAAAAAATGGAAGGCGGTGAGGGTTAAAAGGGATCAATATATCACTCCAGAGTTTATTGTTGTTGCTGAGAGGATTCTAAGTAATATTTATGTATTATACTTCATTAATTGTTTTTTTCAATTATCTTAAATTGAATTTGTTGTTTTAATGTTACAGGATACACTTGAGGAGCAATTATCCCAAGGTACATTTGTTCCTTATGGATGAATGGATATGTTAGCTATTGCCATTGGAAAGGCTGACCATCCCAGCAGAGTCAGAGGAGCCTCTAAAGGGATTAGTATTAAACAGTTCTTTAGCCTTGGTTCACGAAGAAGTACTGGATCATCCTCTGCTAACATGGTATCTAAAGAGGAGTTCAACCAATAATTACAGAAAGAAATAGAGAGAGTTCGCGCTCAACTCACTAAAGAACACAAGGCAAAAATGCAAAAGATGCGTGAGGAGTACGATGCCAAGTTTTAACAGGCTATGATGATGATGAGCATGACCCGATTCCAGATGCCCCAAGTGTCTGAACCTTTCCAAGTAATAATAACAGATGTTCTCAAATCTTCTAAAGGTTCATTTGATCCATTTAAACTTATTTAATGTGCCTTAACTAATTTATTTTTATGTTTCAGGGTTCACTTATTATGAAAAGTGGGAAGGATAGTAATAATTAGACACAGCAACTGACAGTGTCTAACCTTAACCCTAGCCTTAACCTTGCTGAAGACAATAGAATCCCGTGTGCTCTCTATGTGGACTTTGAAGATTTAGCTATTCATGTTGCTAATAGTCAAGCATTCTTAGGCACAACGATCCATGACAACAAAGTTCTGAAGGATCAAGCGAGGGTGACGATAGATAGTTTCCATAGTGGTCAAGGTGGTACACCAATGCCTAACCCTACTGATGAGGTTTGACTACTAGCTCAGGCTAAAGGACATTTCATTTTTTGGCCAAAGAGACTTGTTTGAAAGCTGGTAACGGAGAAGGTGACAAAGAGCGTATCATTAGATCCTATCCTCCTGCCTTTTCCTGATGACATTATGGTTATGTATTATAGTTTGGCGCTTCTTCATTCCATGGTGGCAAACATGGAGAAGCCCCTTACTTTCAAGATGCCACTGGGGATTATGGGTTCAAAGATGTCACATATGACTTCACCATTGACAAGAAAGACCTCATTCAGTTCCTTAACTTTGAGGAGTTGGATATAGTCTTCATGCAGCTGGCTATTTTGTAAGTTATAATATCATTTTCTTATTTCATGTTATACTTGTGCATGTCCTAATGTTTCTTATTTGAACAACAGGCACTTTACTCAAATCTGTCGGTAGGGAGGACTTGAAGGAACATATGGCTTTATGAGTCCTCAAAAGATGCAAAAAATAGTCAATACTATGGAAGCAAGGTCGATCTACATAATGATCACAATGACTCAGGCGAAAAAGAAAATATATTTTGCACCTTATGTGGAAAGGTAGGTATTTTATTGTATTTAAGATACACAAGTTGTATATATAGGATTATAATTAACATAGTTTGTATTTTGCAGTTACCATTGGACCCTAATTTTTTGTGTCCCTTTTGAAACAAAATCTACTGATTCGATTTCCTCCGTGGAAGTCCAACCGAAGAAACCAAAGATATCATTGACACGTTAGTTTATGTTTGTATATTTATTACATGTAAAGTTTATAAAAACGTGCTCTAATATCAATTTTTTTTATTGCTGATAGGTCTTTTTATAGTTTCAATATTGTGGCTAAGTAGTAAAATCTAAAACCACCAAGATGGATTCTCCTACGAGTATG